TTCTTGGTAAGATAAGGTTATTTTCTCTTGAACTAATCTGAGTTTAATGTTCAAGTGAGATTCTATAGCGCTAGGTCTTCTTGGAAATTATTATATTTAGTCTCTTGAACTTTCTACCTAAAAGATGCACTTAACTACATATTTTGTGCCCGAATATTTGTACGTCAAATTGAGTCACAACAGCAATGCTTATTAAATATCACACATATATCAGAAATGCCTCTCATTGACAAAACTTTGAAAAATTACCTCTTGTAATAGACAACTTTCGAACTTTAGATAGCTTTTCTTTCATCAGTATAAGTTTTCTTTAGATAACTTTCGAACCTTTCTTTATTTTGATCTATATATTTTTAGATGACATTGATATTAGATAATCAAATCAAAATGGTTGTTGTTTTTTGAGATGATACATCAGTGCATTGAAAATCTTTTCGATGTTTTCTTGAGATACTATAGGTTATTAATAATTTTTCATGTTTGCATGACTGGCTCTGACTACCCATTTTTTATATTTAACACAAAATAGCTTCATTTCACCCAAAAAAAGTATCTCGCTTTGTGTTTATATCATAATTATAAGAAAATAGGAGCAGGGTTGATGACCAATGGATAAGTAAGTTATTGAGAGGAGAAGCTTTCATGATTTCTTGAAATTATTCAACTTCGTATTTATCATCATATGTATATCAACGAAAATCATAAGCACATTTAGGGAACAAAAGTGGTGTATATTCTATATATGGATTGAACCCAGTCTAGCAACGAGCAATAAGTTAACAAAAACCTCTTGAACAATAGCATGAAGAAGAAGAATGGTCCCCTTTATAATAAAAGTACCTTTGAGGGAATGATAATCAGGGTGTTTGAGCGAAATGGGGAGAATAGCACATCTCTTCTGTAGAAAGAAAATTCTACAAATTCAAAAATGAAATGGAAAATTGAGAAATAAAACTTACTACATACTATTATAGAAAGCCAAGAGGACCTCTTACTTTTGAAGGATTTCTCTTCCCCAAAAGTATCTTCAATTAGTTATTATACAAATATTCTATCAATGGACAAATGCCTGCTGTATACATCGAATCAGAATTAGATGTATAGTTTATTTATTGGCTAAAGGTGGCGATTTTTCTTGTGGGAACAACTCTTTTGATAGGCACCGAAAGAGTACATAAAACCCAGTTCACTAGGTCAATCTAAGAAGTGCATGCTGGCGAGTACTGAAGAACTCCAAAATGAAACCGTCTCATTAATTCGGAACCAACTATTCGAGTCAATAAGGCATCATATGTTTACACGACTTTTCCCTTATTCTCAACAAATAGAACAAACTGTTTTATGCGCAAGGATACATACAAGAGCACAGAATCTAATCAAGTACGAACCAAGGAACTGGATCTGATTCTTGTCATGATCAAGGGAACTCCATGTTGGGGATGAAGAGCGAGCAAAGGAATAGAGGCATGCTTGTAAGAAGGAGATAGCTGCACTGAGAAATTCTGCAAAATCATGGTCAAAGCAACTTTGGCCTCAATTAAAGCAAAGTTTTGGTTAATGCAAGTTCTAGGACCCAACTGAAAGATAAAAAGCAGAGCTTGTTCCGGTTGCTTTTGAGACTCCCTCAGAGAATCTTTCCGGATTGAACTCTTTGGCATCATCACCCCAAATTTCCGAATCATGGTGGATCAAGATCATGGGCACAAAAAGCTGAATTCCAGGAGTTTATTTGTATATCTCCCAACTTAGTTGTCTTGTGAACTGTTCTCATCATCATATATGCAGGCGGATATAACCTTAGCACCTCATTGAGAAGCATGCTTAGTTGCATATAAATCAATTTGCGTTAGGCTGTTTTTGTCCAAAAAAGACATCGAGAATGCAACAATTAGATTATCTAAACCTTGTCTAGTGGACCTAATTCATCAAACTGAATATCATTCATGTGATCTATGTGGTAAAGATCCATATGTCTCACCTCTTTCACTAGCAGAACCTAAGTTGAATAATTATCGACTAAATACTCCTCTCTTTTTTTGGTTTGGGGGAAGGGGAACGGAAGAACGGCAATTAGATTTGAGGTCAAGTGGAAATAATCCAGCAAAGACGTTTCCAAGGTCTCCTCTTAATCTAACACAAAAAAACACACATATCCGAAAAGAAGAAGGGCATTGGAAGAGGCCTTTGATTGTGTTTGCATAAGGCATACCGAGAAACCAGCTCTATAGATCCAGGGTCAGAGGGAGAGACAGAGAAGATGATTATGGAAAACCAAAGGAAAGTTTGCAGAGAAGAAACTGGACTCGAATCAAGTTTGTGTTCTATTTTTCTTTCTATTTCTCATGTGTCTTTTGTTTTCTTTCCTGAATTAAAAGGCAATGTAAGAATGTCCTGCAATAATTGTAAGTAGTCGATAAAGTTTAATGTCAATAAATTTCTTCTTCGATAAAGTTCTGTATTCAACTAGGTCGCAGTTTCCTTCATTTGTGTTTCTCGTTTCATCTTTATTTTGGCAGAAACCTGTTAATTTGATTTGAGTTTTGAAATTAAGGAATATATGTCTTGAAATCAATACAAAACGGCAAACAAAAGCCTGTAAGGAGTAATGAATTGAGATTGAGTTTACTTGGTCATTCTGATATTGCCTCTCAGGTCTTTAAACAAAAGCCTGTAAGGAGTTCCATTCAGACCTTGCCGTCTTAGACATCTTTCTAGCTTCTTCGGCTTCAACCATAACAAACCCAATAATTTCCGTGCATAAGCGAAGAAGGCGATCAGAACAACAGAGGGAACAATTGAAAAAGCCAAGGACATTTCCATACTCTGCGTTAACCAGATGACACGCTTGTCTTTCTTCTGCGAGAGGAAATAAATAGAACTGTTGAGGACTCTAGGATAATTTTAATGTAGAGTAAGACTTTTTATTTCCAGTCTTCGAACCTTCTTTACTAACAGATGACCAGACTACTAAGTTGCCAGTCACTTTTTACTTACCAACGATAGTTTATATTTACCATTAGTTATTCCAGTTTACCATGGACAGAACAAATTTCTACGTAGTCATAAATTAAAAAAAAATGTCAAAAATTGTTAATCTTTGTGATCCTTTTTCAAGAATTCTAGAATATCTAGAGATATCGGGAAAAGAACACCACAAGTGCCGTAACTTTCGTATAGTACTCACTTGAGTGCCTAACTTTTTTCGATCACAATTGCTGAAAAATTATGGCATTCAAGTGATCAATTGAAAGTTATGACACTTAAGTGAATATTTTTTTTAGAAGTTATGGTACTCGAGTGATCGAAAAAAAGTTATGGCACTCAAGTAAGCGTCGCGTAAAAGTTATGACACTCATGATATCCTTATCCTAGAGACATCCATTCTACAAAAATCTGATGGCACTATAAGTTAGTGGTGTCTACGAAGTTCTAGAGTTGAAGGAAAAGTAGTGGCCAAGGTTAAAAGAACAAGAAAAATTCTCTTATATAGAGAGCTTCGATTGTAAAATCCATCTTTATAAACTAAAGAAACTATATATTCTTGTCCCATCCACATCAGTACCAGAAACTAACAGCATTATCAGAGTCACGCTTCCACAAAATATCGATAATCTACGTGTTTGGAGTGGTAAAATATCTATTACTGCCGTAAGTTACAATCAAGAACTAATACTACTAGTAAAGTATGTCACCACTTCATACTTTATTATCGAAAGGACTTGTAAATTTGAACAACTATAACTAATCAAGTATCGATTTGTAGTGGTAAAGTATTTAAAACCATTAACCAATGGTAAGTGCCTCAGCATTTCCTAATCTGCTATCGGCCAAACTGGGGAATTAAAAAAAATGTTAATAATCTACTTTGAATTTATAGTGTTACAATATTTTTGTTTTATATAAGTTACAACCGCCAGTTGTAAAATTTACAACGAGCTTGCAAGTTAACAATTGATTAATGAGTCCACTTAGAGTTTTTAAATAATTGGTAATGTATCGTTGGATCTAATGTTCATAAAATCATTTTTTTGTTGGTACCGTGCTAAATAAGGAATGGGCCCAATGGTAATATTCTATTGGAACTAATGCTTATAAAATCTTTACTTTGTTGGTAAGTTACTAACTAATGGACCCACAAGTAAAAATTAAAAGCAATTGGGGATCTATTGTCGGATTTTAGGGGGAATAATCATATTTCGTTTGGTAACTTACTAATAAATTAAGGGGTCACTTGTAAATATAGAAATGGACTGAACAATAAAAAATCCAATGGAATAACTAATCATGTAGCATCGTGCATGCTAATGGTAAAACTAGCGGTCTTTGGCAATCTCATTGCATGAACTCAAACAACCTATCTTTCATATTTCATCACATTGGATCAACAGCTGGGATCAATAAAATCTCTGAGAGAAAAGAGTGATGTTATGAGAAGATGACAATCAATGGTTGGAAGTTTAGTCTATTGATTGTTTGATTAAGTACATGAATCGGAATTTCTTGGTATAATAAGGTTCTGATCTATTGACCCAAAAAAAAAAAAAAAAGTTGTGATCTCTCGAACTCATCGAGTGACAATCTTTATGCCCGAGTATTTGTACGTCGATTTGAAATAAGATGTGCTTTTTGGGAAGTGGTCTTCCTTGTGTTCTTGTTGGCTGTTGCTTTGTATTCAGTCAAGTACAAGTACTTGCATGCAGTGTTCTTTCTCTTTTTCCATATAAGTGACTTCACATAGAGTTAACAATTCATATTTCGAATCAAAATCAGACATATCATGTATTTCTCTTGTTAAAGGTGGCAAGCGATATTTCCCGTGGGAACTACTCTTTTGGAAGAAACCGAAACCGACTGGATATGTAAAAACCAGTTAACACGATCAATCCAACATGAGCATGCTGGTGACAAGTGAAGAATTCCAAAATGAATCCGTATCATTAACTAGGAACCACTTTTCTAGTCAAGAAGGCATAGTATGTTTAAAAGACTTTTCCTTTATTCTAAACAAACAGAACAATCCGTTCTATGCACAGCACGAAGAAAACAAGAGCACAAAATCTGCTTAAATATAAACCGAGGAATTCGATCCGATTTTAGTCAAGATCAAGGGGACTCCATATTGGGGATGAGTAGTGAGCATAGGAGTAGGGGCGTGCTTGTAAGAAGGAGATAGCCGGACTGAGAAATTCTGCAAAATTAAGGTGAGAGCAACTTTGGCTTCAACCAAAGAAAAGTTTTGGCCAATGCAAGTTCTTGGACCCCAACTGAAAGGGAGAAAGCAGAGCTTGTTCTGGGTTGCTTTTGAGACTCCCTCGGAGAATCTCTCCGGATTGAACTCTTTGGCATCCTCACCCCAGATCTCTGGATCATGGTGGATCAAGATCACGGGCACAAGAAGCACAACTCCCGGAGGTACTTGTATATCTCCCAACTTGGTTGTCTTGTGAACTGTTCTCATCGTCATAAATGCAGGCGGATATAACCTGAGTACCTCATTCAGTATCATGCTTACCTGCATATAAATCAATTTGATGTCAGCCTCTTTTGGTCCAAAAAGACATTGAATGCAACGATTAAATTATCTAAACCTTGCCTAGTGGACCAGATTTATCAAACATAATATCATCCACGTGATCTATGTTGTAACTTCGAACGAGAAGGCACAATACATATGTCTCACTTCTATCACTAGCAGAACCTAACTTGAGTGACTATCGCCTAAATATTCCTTTTTTTTTCCTTTGGTTTGGGGGAAGGCGTACGGAAGCACATCAACTAGATTTCAAGTCAGGTAGTTGCAATTTTTTCCATCATTTTTTGGCCTTTCCTTTTTGTTTGTTCTTTCTTTTTTCTTTTTCTTTTTTTTGGTGCAGAACATCATTTATTGGATGTGAGTTTAGAAATTCAGGATAATATGTCTTGAAATCAACATAAACGGCAGACTATGCGACTAGAGTCCTTACAATTTTTAGTCGGCTCAACCCATCAAAATCGGGTTTGTTGTTGCCGAAAACTCGCAGGACTTCCTCTCTTGCTTTGTCTTGCCAATTTTGATACTTGCTCAACAAGATCAAAGTCCAAGTAAGCAAAACAGAAGTCGTCTCTTGACCCGCAAAGTTGAATGCTTTGCACTCTTGAATCACATCCTCTATGCTCATACCTTTTTGATGCCCAAACTCTTGAATTTCTTTCACGTTTGATTTTAGCAACAGTCCCAAGAGATCATCATCATCTACTCCTCCTTCCTTCATTGCCTTCTCTCTTTTGGTCACTATGTCTTCCAGCAATCCTTTTACTTCGTGGTCGATTTGTTTCATCCTCCTCTGCATTTTGGTTGGCAAGAGGCTGCATTTTTTTTTATATACAAATTAACTTCAAGATCAAAACTTTACACGTCGATTTAGTTTCTATATTTTTTTCTTGCTACATAAATGCACTCAACCATTTCCATCCATTCTGTTGAGTTTACAAGTTGGAAAACAACAATCTCAATAACAGCTTGATAGAAGATTTGCCTTACTAAACATTGTGACAGGAAAAAATTGCAGCGAACCCTATATACTACCTTGCAATTACAATCCAACCACTATCAATGATTTGCAAAATCATAAGAACACTGTCTTCAGAAACTTATCAAGTTCCTTGTGTGGCGGGATGCTTATAGATCGGTACATGATTTGCAAAATCATAAGACAATTGTGGAAAGTTGCAACTGACTCCATGGATAAGGATTGAGGAAATCAAACTGAAGTTTGTTACTTTTTTTTTCTTGTCATATGCTTTTGAAATAATTAAAGATCTCAGGATAAATTATTGCTGAACCAATCTCAAGTTACCTCCACCCGGGAATAAATGTGAACTGAAGAATCTTGTTAGTGAGGCCCATTTGTTCTTTTTGAAGGGGGACGATGCTCTTGACTTGGTTGTAGGTGACAGCAAAAGCAGCTTTACAGAGTACATCACCCGTCAAATGCTGAAGCTCAGGCCAAACATCCACGTCACCAGCCAAACTTTGCTTGTTCCATTCCCTAAACATCTCCTCGCAACTTGAACATGTTGCGCTCACTACAAACTGTAATTTATTCAACAATTAAAAACCTGAATGAATTGAACGTACAGAGTTTTTTATAATTAATTATTTTAAGTTCCGTTAGATGTTGCATTTGGCAGGAAATTATTAGCTGCAAGCAATAATACCTTCAACTTCTCATAGTGAAAAGCCGGGTTGATGATCGTTCTATGTTTGACCCATTTCTCACCCTCAACCATGATGAGCCCCGATACTAAGAGATCTCCAATGGCTTTGGTGTGTGGCTTTTCGAACTCATTGATCCGTGAAAATATTTCCTTCAACATGTCTGAGTCCATGATGTTCAATACAGGCGTTGGCCCAAACCATGTGAAGCTAAGCTTCCCTGCAATAACCATTTTTCACAGACTTGATTTATTAAGGCGTCAAATGGCTACCGGATTCATATATCACCCATTTCTGTATGTCAAGTGCTTAAACTAGCAGATATATTGTAACTACCCGAGTTGAAACCCATCTAGCAGATCGATTTGCACGAGAAAATGAGCAGTTTTAGTAGCCTTCTGACAATCGGTTACTACATAGCTGTCATTCATATGTCATGTGACTTTGCTGTAAAAGCAATACTCAATCTCGTAAAATCTGACTTATAGCAGGATCTGGTCAACTTGCTTTCCATGAATATATATCAATTAAATTGCTGAAAAGACACCAGAAATATATTTCTTTAGCAGGTTTTTAGCTAAAAATTACAGCTTCTAGTGAGTTGAAATTGTATATTGTTTTATACCAGGAAATTGAGTTCGTCGAATCAATGATATTATACATACGTAATGGCTAAAAAGTTCAACTGTATCTCAACTTTGATGGCATGCGTACCGTATTTCTTGATGGAGTGATGAAGGAAAGGCAGCAGGCGAGGCGCGATGTCGTTGGAGAAAGGAGTAATGGGTTGAGATTGAGCTTCCTTGCTCATTCTTATGTTGTCTCTCAGGTCTTGAAACAAAAGCCCGTAAGAGGTTCCATTGAGACCTTGCCGTCTCAGACATCTTTCTAGCTTCTTAGGGTTCAACCAAAACAAACACAGTACTTTCCATGCACACGTGAAGAAGGTGATCAGAACAAGGGAGAGAACAATCGAATAAGCCAAGGACATTTTCATATTCAACGTTAAACATATGACCCGCTTGTCTTGTTTCTGTAAGAGGAAATAAATAGGACTCTTGGGGAGCAGAAAGACGTGGTATCGTATCAACCTTTTGTTGCGTGTATCGGAAAAAGGAATTCGTTGACTTGCTTTTAATAAAGGAGAATCTTCTTCAACTAGTATGTTTCTTAGTTTCTTATTATCACATCTTTTTTACATGATATTTTAAGGAACTAGTTGACCTGTTACCTGCCCAGCGAAGCATGCTAGAATGAGGTTAAAAACTAAGCGGTTTTAACAGCAAATGTCTCTAGATCTAGAATATGTCATTGTTATTTCCAGCCTTTCACCCTTCTTTTCGAATTGTTTCAATGCACGACGAAAACCATTGGTTAACCGTATTCATCAGCCGAAAGCAAAACTATACAAACACCAAAATAACTCAAAGTGACCGTACGAGAGGTCACATTTGAGGGTGAATGTTAACTTATATATTACTTAACGAAAGCTCACTCTTTTGATATGCGACTTTAAATTGTTACATCCCCAGAGTGGTAAAATAGACAAGTTATCCATAAGTGGTAAGTAGTCGAAATTGTTGGTAAATTGCAAAACTTGTTAATAGAATTAGGTGACTGGCAACTTGTTTGCTTGGTATGTTGTCGGTAAGGCCTGCCAGGGCATGGATATCAAGATTAGCAATGCCAAAAGCGCAAGGCCGGCCAGGATTGAACTTTCACGGTGGCCAAAAAACTGTTATGCTAGCAAAACCCTTTACATAACTTGAATCTCAAGATTAGCAATGCCAAAAAGGCAAGGCTGGCCAGGGCATGGCATGACCCGTTTATGTGACAAGACAAGCGGCGTTGTGGCCGGGCAGCCTCTATTCATTTGTAACCTAACCTCCACCCCAAAGGAATTTGTCAAGCTTGAGGCGGGCTCGAAGCACGACGCAATTTGTGCTTGGGCACGGCCGACGTGGTCATGCTCACGCTAGCCTGTTTGCCAAGCCCTAGTAAGATTATTTATTCTTTCCTAACTGATTTTGGTCAGTTTCGAAAATAATCTATAATATACAACCAAACTCAACGGCTATAAATCATTATATCGTTGGTAACTCACTAACAACTAAACAAGCCCACACCGGTAAAATTTAAAAGCAGTCGATCCTTCTCAAGTGGAGAAGCAGCTAATATTCTAATTGAACTTGAAAGTAGTAAGACCATTATTTCAAGTTACCTACCAATAAAATTGCTCACGTGTCAAATTGAAGAACACGTGATGATCATGGCATCATTGATACTCCAGTTTTGAAATGGCATAAATATTCATTTTCAACTAATTCCACCCTCACCTCTTGGTTTACATAACTTGGATCTCAAGATAAGCAAATACCAAAAGGGCAAGGCCAGCCAGGGCATGGTACGACCCGTTTGTGCGACAGGCCAAGCAATGTCGTGGCCGGGCTGCACCTATTCATCTGTAGCCTAACCGCGACCGTAAAAGAATTTGTCAGGCTTGAGGCGGGCTCGAAGCACAACGCAATCCGTGCTTGGGCATGACCCACGTGGTCATGCTCGGTCTAGCCGGTTTGGCAAGCCCTAGCAAGAAATATTTCTTCTTTCCTAATTGGTTTTGGTCAATTTAAAAGCAGTCGATCCTTCTCAAGTGAAGAAGCAGCTAATATTCTACTTGAACTTGAAAGTAGTAAGACCATTGTTTCAAGTTACCTTCCAATAAAATTGGTCACTTGTCAAACCAAAAAAATCAATACGGGGACGACATCTCAAAAATCAAAATGCGCAATCAAGCAAACTTTAGAGATTAATGAAATCACTAATACTCTTTGATTTCTCTTTTTTGGAAGTTTCCGTTGCCTGCTTGGGTGTCTTAAGAAATCTCTCAAAATAGATTAGGGCTTCTCTAATTTTAGGCCAGGACAATTCATAATCAAGCCTTTGACTGGGCGCTGCAAGCAAGTTGGCTTTGTTAGGGTTTATTTCTCCTTTTGTTCCATAAAAGGTGAAATAATGAGATATATTTTTATTTTTTGATTACGATAAAGATAACCATGAGTTTTATTAAAAATAATTTACAAGTAGAGTATTTTTTATTTATTATGTGAAATTTGATCTTTTGAAAAGACAAACTAATTAAAACATTGGTACATTAAAGCTGAATTTTATCAGAGATTGTGAGTCTTTTACTTGTGTAAATTAGAAATGATTATGTTAAAAATAGATATTTCATATTTATCATTAATCACAAAAAGCGAATAAAAGGATTTTATTGACAAGTAAAAGTAATCATAGCTTGTAGGAACATAAAAGGAAAGGAACGGGCACATCTTAACATAGACATTTAAGAAATTTGGCAGAAGTTTTGCGGAGGGGGAGGGGTGGGGTGGGAGAGAGAGAGAGAGTAGATAGCATGACCATATCTAAACATAAAATTTAAGAGATTAGGCAGAAGTTTGGGAGGGACTAGATAGTATTACCATCCCTAAACATGAAATTTAAGAGATTAGGCAGAAGTTTGGGGGGGACTAGATAGTATTACCATCCCTAAAGAAGTTTAAATAATTAGCCTTTTGGTCATATTACAATAAAGAAAGCAAAAGCGATTCTCGTAGCAACGGGGAGCAGCAATTGCTTGCTCTATGGGTCCGTAGAGTCTATATTCAAAGAAAAACCATTGCAATAGACTAAACAATAGAGAATCCAATCGAGTGAACTAATCATGTAGCATCATGCATGTCAAATGGAAAAAATAGTGGTCTTCGACCATATCACAGCATTAACTTAAATGTCTTGTCCACCTCTTTTTCGTCTTTCATCTCATTGGATTAATTCGACAGTTTGGGTCGATGCAATCTCCGAGCAAAAAGAGTGATGTTTTGAGAAATATTCTTTATATCAATCATAATTGAATTTCAAGAAATTGACAATCATGATTGGAAGTTTAGTTTGTCGATTGTTTATTATCTCTTGAACTCATCGGGCTCGGTATTCGAAGTGAGATTCTACAGTGATATGATTTTAAGGAAATGAATATGTTTAGTCTCTGAACTTTGGGATAATTGATCAACAATTCCTAAACCTTTCAATTGAATCAGTATAATCCTGAAACTTTTAGTAAAAATGCAATCAAGTTTTCCCGACCAAGTGTCGCCCAAGTTTTCTGACATGGCAATCTAGTCACGCCGATTGTCTATCAACAATTTAAGATATTTGAGTGAAAATACAATCAAGTCCTCCCGGCCAAGTCTTACACGAAACTTCTAACATGGTAGTTCAGTTATCGCTAACCGTCCGACATATCATGACCGGCAATCTAACAAGGACGAAACTATTCCGATTCTTTTCTGATTTTTCTGAATTTTTATTTCTTTTCTTTCCTTCTATTAAATGAGTAAACATAGTCGGCAAAGTTAACCGCCACGTCAGTACCACATGGGCTTTGAAAGGACTTTATTGTCCATGACATGTTTTTTTTTTTTTTTTTTTTGGTGACCAGGATGATGACTTGGACTGAAAGATAGGAAAATTAGAAGGAAAAAAAAGCAAGAACAACGGAAGGGAGATTGCGATTGTGATGACGGGGGCGCCCAGCCACCGGCGTGGCCGGACGTTGCTCGCAGGGCTCGGGCGATGTTGCGGCCACTGTCATCTCTGATCCTAGGCAAAGACAAACACGCAACGCGGGAAAGTGGCGATCTCGAGCAACTTGAAGGAGAGAGAGTTCATGGTGCGAAAGAACACCTTGATCTTGTTCAACATCGTGATCTCTCACGCCCTCGAATGGCCGTCGCTCAACGCCCACCAGGCCCCGCTCCTTCCGGGGACCTTCGCCGGTAATCCGTTGTCGCCCTCTACAGGCGCATTCTCAGACCCCACACCTCCAACGGCGCCCCCAACTTCCTCACGCTAGCTGATGCCCACCTCCTTTCCCGACACGATATATCCAATGAGAAAACTGCACTTCCCCATGTCTGTCTTCTCACCCTGAATTTTTTCCGCTTTTTTTTTTTTCCCTTCAAGATTCTTGTGGGCATTACTCGTCGAATCATATGGTAGAGTGAAGACGTTGATTTTGTGCGTGTTTCTTTTCATTTCAAGTTAGCCGATGCATTCTCCTCGTTGGATAGAATGCCCAGTACACAAAATTACATGTTCTGGGCAAAGCTATAGCAACCTGTTATTCAACAACAACGTGATATTCATCAGAGAATGCGATTTTTTCCCCATATTTGTTGCAAATCTACAGCGAGGCAGTGTTCGGCCCTCTCTGTGTGGACGACTATGTGAGGGACGTTTGTGCGTCAAGGCTAAGGTCGTGACATCTCAGCGCGCGGCCGCAACCGTTGATGTGGCAAAGGCTTTCTACTTTCGTGTCAAACAGTGGTGGAGGCAGCAGCGGCCGACGAAACAAGCCGTCTCTCTGCCTAGAACCACGGGTGCCCATTGCGTGCACTGGCAAAGTGAGCTCTGAGTTTTCCCGAAGCCAAAGTAAGCCCATTCTGAGCTGTGAAGGAGTTTTGGCCGAGCGACCGAGAGGTATGAAGACGATGAACCATAAAAGGAGCTCCCAGCGCAGAAAAGAAGGAAAGAACAGAGAGAGAAAAAAAACAAACAAATCAGAAGAATCAGAAGAAAAACAGCATCTTTTGTCCGTGTCACGGGCGAACGATAATTGGATAGTCACGTCAAAAATTTCAAAATAAATTTGGTAGTGAGAACTTGCATCTTCACTCAAAAATTAGGATTACGTTCCATTGTCATTCATATATTGGACAAACGTCAAATAAAAAACACCTACTTATACTTCAAGATAAAAATAGTTTTTCTTTTCAAACGAAAAAAAAGAAAAGCATGAATTGAAAATATCCATAGGATAAAAAGAAAATGAGTTTATACCCTCGAGATAGAAATTGTGACATCCTGAAAATTTGTCCATTTGGGATTTATAAAATACTGAGTTTTATGAATGTACTCGTAGTTAGTTCTCACCCGGAACTGATCATTCCTGGGATACTAACCATTAGGGAAAGGCTAAT